GCTCCTCTTCGTGACAAGAGCTTCACTCCTAGATGAGGGCCAATCCCGGGTCTCTGCTCTGCTGTGTCCCTGTCCTGCCACCTCCGTTTCGCCTTTCAAGATGCAGCTGGGGTGACATCACCTCCAGGAAGCCTGCCTTGATCTCTTGTAAGAGCTGGCTGCTCCCTTATTTGTCCACCCACAGCCGCAGGGCTCCTCCCACCAGGGTAAAGGTTCTGTTGAAGTTTCACTCACAGGCATGAAGCACACAGATCTCAGTGGATTGTCCCCAGATGAACAGCCTGGGTAAACAGCATCATCAGACTCCTCTCGGACTAGTTACCAGTCCTGCCCCAAGGCATCTCCACCCTGACCTCAACCCCTCAGTTAGTTTTGCCAGCTTTTGTACTTTATGCAAATGCAATCATCCAAGAAGTCCTCTTTTGTGTCTGGCTTCTCTCTCTCCTCAGGCAGAATTTCAGGTGGTTTCCTCGCATTACTGTATAGCCTTCCCCACTTATGAATAGACCATAATTTATCCATTTTACCATTGATGAGCATCTGGGCAGTTTCTAGTATTTTTGTCAGTTAATGACTGGTACAGCTGGGAATATTTCCTGTCTTTTGGGGCCCATGTGTACACCTTTCTGTTGAGTGTATGTGCAAAGAAAGAAGTGAAATCACTGGGTCAGAGGGTGGGCATGTACTTGACCTTAGAAGATGCAGTCAAACTGTTTTCCAAAGCAGTTGTGCCAATTTATACCCTGCCAATAGAGACAAGCTTGTCTAGGCTCAAAACTGTCTCAAAGTCCTTGCTTTTCAACTGTTCACTCATCTGTCTAACCCATTGGGGCTGGGATGCCATCCAAGCCCCCCCACGCCCACCCGGCTCCGACTGGCAGGAGACTCGCGTGAGAGAGGAGATGAAGGGCGTCAGGGAGAAGCACAGAGGGCGTGCTCAGCGGTCCAGCGGTCGGGACTCTGCACGTTCACCACTGGGCGTCTGGGCCTGATCCCTGAGTGTGGGACTGAGACCCACCGAACCACGTTGAGTGGCCAGAAATAAAGTGTCATAAAATTATTCTAAACAGACTTCAATAAGTTCAAATACACTTTAAAGAAAAACACAGAGAGGAAAGAGAGAAGGAGGGAGGGTGGGGTGAGGGGAAGGGGAGAGGGAGGTGGGGAATGAAGGAGACCGCCTCCCCGCCAGCGGCTGCATGCTGGCTGCTCTGGGGCAAGGGCTTGCTGGGCTGAAACTGCGCCTCCCGGTTCACGCTAAAACCTCAGTGTGCCCTAAAAATGGACAACTGAGTAAGTGTCTTTCTCCATTCATTTCAGGATCGTCTTCCAAACATAGGTTGTTTTCTGGGAATTACTGGGAGGGGCGAGGACAGCAGGATCCCCGGGTGGGAAGGCTTCGAGATGAGCCCCTGGAGGCCCCTGGCTTGGAGATTGGCCAAGCAGACGGTCCCAGGGTCCACCTCATCCCAGACGAGCCTGCCCACTGCCCTCTGCCGCTGCAGTAAGCAGGGGCAGGGCTCTGGGTCCTTGGCCAAGGCCAGATTCCAGGGCAGAGCCTGCTGGGCAGAGAGAGGGGGCCCCCAGGATGCTGGATGCACCTCCTGAAGCCGCCCCATGGGCGAGCCCGTCTCCCTGCCAGGCGGCACAGACCCCCGGAGGGCCGCCCTGAACACAGCCCCCCGCAGCCTGGCCCAGTCTCGGGTGTCAGCCAGAATCCAGATGTGCCAGGGCAGGTTGAATGAAGTGGGCTTGCTTCCTCTGCTTTGCCTGTGCCAGCCCTGGCTCTCTGCATGCAGACTCAGCAATGGAAGAAGCAGGGAGCCCACGCCGTCTGCAGTGAGCGCAGGAATCTCCTTCCTGGACTTTCTGAGTTCCTTAAATCCTCGAGAAACAGAGGTTTCACCACCTCACAACGGCTCCCATGGTTGAGCTATGCGGTGGTGACACAGTAGAAGCCACCATTGTCTGCAGCTTCATTAGGGACCAGACACTGTCAACCTTACATACTTTATTCCACAGTGTCTCCATGAAGTAGGTGTTATCATTATCAAACCCATTTTGCAGAGGCAGGAACTGAGGTTTAGAGCCATTATGCATCTGCCTAAAATCACATTGTGTGTGTGTGTGTGTATACGTATATAATATATATACATATATAACATACCTGACATATGTACATATATAATATATAAAAATAATTTTTTCCTACCTCTCTCTAACGAGAGGGCCTAGAAACAGTGGCACCACAATAGCCGTGAGCACATACATTGCCCAGATCTTAGTTTCTAAATACCACACTCTAATAAAAGGAATCACGGTCCTCAGAGAAATGGCTGGTTCTCTTCTGAAAGTGAAAGCAGAAGATGAGCCTAGCATCGTGCTGTACCAGAAACGAAGGAAATGCTAAAAAAAAAAAAAAAAAAAAAGGATGAGGGACATCATAGACACAGAAGCTCATCTGGAAGAGTTCCCAATGGCCAAAACTGGACAATCTGAACAACAAAATAAATAACTTAGTACTGAATTATAACCCAAAAGATAAGATAGATAAAGGCATGGGTCCACGCTGATAGAAATAAATGGGAGAGGGGAGGAAAAATCTTCCTTAGGGAAGAATTCAAAATAATATCTATAGATACAGTTTCCAGGAGGTGGAGCATGTCTTCTCCCCAGTCGAGCATGGGCTCCACTTGCTTCAAATGACAGAGTAGGAGAAGGAGAAAATAGTGCCTTCACAGTGGGAGAGCCTGGCAGACACCAGCTCAACCATGTAATCAAGGCCAGCGGGGCCCTTCTCCCCAGCCCGCAGCCCTGCCCGGTCACGAGCAAAACATCGTACAAGCTCCAGCGGAGGGACCATCTAACAAAACACTGAACTCCTCAAACCTGGCAAGGTCACGAAAAACAAGGAAAGATTGAAAAACTGTCGTAGATCAGTGCCGTGATGACTACATGTGGTGTGGGATCCTAGATTGGTTAATGGAGCAAAAAAAAAAAAAAAAAGACATTAGTGGAGAAATTGGTGAAATCAAAACAAAGTCTGGCGTTCAGTTAATAGTCATGTATCAATGTTGGTTTCTTAGTTTTAGCAACTGTTCCATGGTCATGTAAGATGCTACCATTAGGGAGACTGGCCAAGGAGTGTCCAAAACTCACTGTACAGGCCTGCAACTCTTCTGTAAACTTAGAAGTTATTCCAGAGTAAAAGTTCTGTTTAAGAATCATACAGGTGACTTCCCCGGTGGTCCAGGGGTTAAGACTCCGCTCCCCCAGTGCAGAGGGCATGGGTTCTATCCCTGGTTGGGGAGCTAAGATGCCACATGCCACCTTAAAAAATCACCCTGGCTATAAACATATGAACCAGAACTCAAATTCAAACGTCTGTCTCCTTAGCCCATACGCTCCGCCCTCCCCACACCATCTCATGTTAGGAAGTTGTTCCCGAAGCCCACTTCATGGATCTGAGCCTCTCATCTGCCCACCTTTGCCCTCTCAGACCAACCCCATCTGTTTTCTCCACCCCACACCCTCCTCTTGAGAGACGAAGGATGCTCCTATCCGCTCCGGTATGCTCACATCTCCAAGGTCAATATTCCTAAGTTGTTCCACTCCTGGGTGACTTGGGTTTCAGTGAATGTTGGCCACCCTAGCACCCAACCCTCCTTTGAAGCAGCCATCTGATTCTACATGGGGATCCATAGGGTTCCAGAGAAATTAACCTGGTTCCAGAGAAGAGCACACGACTTAGGTGAGGTCTATTAGCACACACCACCCCTGGCCACGATGATCAGCCCAGAGGTAGCCATGTGACCCAACTAGGTCTAAAATATCCTGGGAGTTTGACAGGGAATGGTAGGATGAAGGCAATTCTCTTCTTCAACGTGGGATGTAAATGAAGAAGCCCCTGAAAGTCCTAGGATGAAGCCTGAGGACAGCAGAGCAGAGGGGTGGAAAGTCTGGGCTGTCACTGACTTCAGTGGCCACTGGACCAGGCCTTGCCTGAAGCACGGACTGCCCCTCCACTGGCTGAGAAATGCCCTCCCAAAAGATCTTATTGGACAAAGGCAGGGGAGGAGGGTTCTTGGCAGGTGGGATTTAAATGAAAGATACGGAGTGGGGAGATTATCTGCATGGGCCCCAAATACAACCACACGTATCCTTATAAGAGGGAGATCAGACACACAAAGAAGGCAATGTGACTGCAGAAGCAGAGACTGGAATGATGCGGCCACAAGCCACAGAATGCTGGCGGCCACCAGGAGCTAGGGTGCTAGAGCACACCACCCCTACCAGATAGAGCACAGCCCTGCCCACACCTGGATTCTGGCTCAAAGATACTGACTTTAGGATGCTGGTCTCCAGAACAGATAGAAGAAATTCCTATTGTTTTTAAATCACTTAGTTTGTGATCATTTGTTAAAGAAGCTGTAAGAAACAAATCCAAGAACAAATAAATTCTCCTGATTATTTAAGCCTATTGGAATCTGATATTTGGCTAACTGCAGCCCAAAGCAGTCTAACTGACATGCAGCTCCTGTCTCATCATCCTCTGGTCAAGAGGTGAACTCTACAGAAGAGCAGATCCCAGGAAGAGGTGAGCAGTCGGAGCTCCTCCCGACCTTTTTCCTTGGCTGCTCCATCCAGTCTCCCCTAATGGTAGCATCGTACACGACCATGGAACAGTTGCTAAAACTAAGAAAGCAACATTCATGCGTGCACACCTGAGCAGATAGGAGCATCCTTCGTCTCTCAAGAGGAGGGCGTGGGGCTCTCTAGACAGCCCGGCTCAGCAGTTGGCATGTGGGCTTTTCCCCAGTTGCAGCACCGGGTTTAGTTGCCCCCTGGGGCATGTGGGATCTTAGATGACCAGGGATCAAACCCGCATCCCCTGCATTGGAAGGTGGATCCTTAACCCTGGACAATGAGAGAGGCCCAACCCTCCTTCTCTAGCTGAGAAACAGGGCTGGGGCACAAGCAGTACCATAAGGCTCACAGACTCCAAGCAAAGGCATACGGCAATTTATTTACAGGTAAGTCACAGCAACCGGGGCCCACACAGGCTCAGACCAGAGACTCCAGATCTGTCTACACAGATAGGTCCCAGCACCCAGAGCCACTGCCAGTCAGGCCCCTGCCAGAGGGACCAAGACTCCGGCAGGGTGGAGGGCAGGAAAGGGAGAGGCCAGGTCCCAGAGGGCACGAGCCCGAGGGATAAACGGCCCTCGTCCCTGAACTGTGGACTCAAGCAGTAGGAGGACAGCGGAGACTCTTCAGAGGCAACCCCCGCCTGTGTCCAGCCTGCACCCTCGAAGCCAGGCATCAGAACAGAAGCCCCAGTGGCAGCAGGTGGGGCATGGGGACAGCGCAGGTCCCCTGCAGACCTGTCCAGGCTCCAGCATGGGGCTGCTGTCCTGGGTCATGGCCGCCGTCACACGGGGGGGCCCCCCAGCTTGCTGGTGGCACTTGTGACCCGCTTATTTTCCCGGAGGTTCCGGAGGCGGGCACTGAGGCTGCTGATCTCCTCCACGTAGGCCTGGGGCACCCAGCCCTTTTCGCCATCTGCCAGGCGCACCCCTTCCAGCCAGCCTAAGGGTACATGAGCCGGGGGCAGCGTCAGTGACATCCAAAGAACACCTGGGCCCTAACGCAAGCCCTGTCTGCACCCCAGGGCTGAGAGGACACCATCTCAGCATCTCCCAGGGGCAGGAAGGGGCACGCCTCTAGCAGACTGGTAGGTGGACTTCTGATCTGTTGTTCCTGATGCTCTCTGAGGAGGGATTTCCCCACTTCTCCCCCATCAGTTACTCTCAACCCTACACCTTTGCAAGCAGGAAGTTCATCTTCTTGTCTAACTTGATTCTTGCATGCTATGGTGGATCAACACTGGTGTCACTTTTTCCTATGAAGGCTTAGCTGTCTAGCTCCCTCCTGCCCAAAAAAGCCCCCACCAGGAGGCCTCTCCAGGAGGGCCCTCTCACCGTCACTGGTCCGCATCCTCACGGCCAGGATGTCCGTCTTCTCCAAGGTCAGCTCGTCTGGCTGCGACGCCTTGTATGTTCTGACACACTGGACCTGGGGGTGGTCTGAGAACGAGGGGGGCAGTGAGGGAGCCCCCAGGGGGAGGCAGGAGGAGAGAACGGCAGGGAGGGGAGAAAGAAAGAGTGGCGATTGCAGCTCTTCCCCTGTCCACCCTAGCCACTCTCCTCTCTGACCCGAAACACAAGTTCTAGGTGAGTCCAGTCCCTCCAAGCTTCGATTACTACTTCTGTGCCCTGGGCTTCCCAGCTCAATTCAATGTTTTGCTCCTGACCTCCTGGTCTAACTGTCTCTACAAAATAGTAATGGCCCCTTTGTATGGCACAGTGGTGAAGAATCCACCTGCCAAGGCAGGAGATGAAAGAGACGTGGCTTTGATCCCTGGGTTGGGAAGATCCCCTGGAGGAGGACACGGCAACCCACTCCAGTGTTCTCGCCTGGAGAATTCCATGGACAGAGGAGCCGGGCGGGCTGCAGCCCCTGGGGCCGCAGAGTCAGACACGCCTGAGCACACACGCGCCCTCTGTCTGTCCTCCATCCATCCTCCTCAGCTGAGACTCAAACATCACTCCCACGTACAACCCTCCTCTGAGAACAAACGTCCTCCCACAGCCGCCAAAGCCTTGCACAGTACGGCGTTGCCCCTTGCTCACTGCCTCACCAGCCTCATCTTCCCCTTCCTCCTCGGTCAAGAGGCCCAGCCGCACCCTTATCACCTTGCCGGTCCCCAAACACTCTAAGCTCCCTCCCGCCTCGGGGCCCTTGCACGGCTGTTTCCCCTTCCGAGATGCCACCGCGGCTGCCCCTCCCCGTCCTTCAGCAGCCTTCGCTGACCACCTCCTCGGAGGGGCAGGTTCACCCTCCGGCCCAAACGGGACCTCTAGTGCTGGTCAGAGAATCAATTCCGGTCCGGTCTCAGTCCCTTCTACCACACTAGGTGGACTGCGAGTGTCGGGAAAACCACAGGCCTCGGGGTCAGACCAGGCTTGAAGCCCAGCTTACTGACCTTGGGCAAGTTACCGAACAGCCCTGGGCCTCAGTGTTCTCAGATACGGAGAATGAATCTACCCAAGGGCATTGTTGTGACCAGTAGCCGTTCCCTTTTCCAGGAGATCTCCCCGAGCCAGCGATCGAACTGGGTCTCCGTCATTGCAGGCAGAAAATAAAGGCATGTGTGAAGCCCTCGGCACCCCAGCACGTGGAAAGTACTGGGTGGAAACGTGCTGCTTACCTTCCTTTTCATTGGCTCAACCCTAACGCCCCAGTTCAAAAACCCTGCACAACTACCTGGCTCCCACCACACCAGGATGTCCTCTGGTTGGGCTGCACCCTGCCTCACCGGCCTCATATCATGCCCAGAGAAGCCTCTGGATCAGCAGGGCAGACCCCTCGGCCTGCCACACCCCCACCTGCTCCCGGCCACTCTGCTCCTGTCCTATCTGCAACTGACGCAGGGCCACAGAGAGGCCCGATTCCAGTCCCAGCTCAGCTGTTGACCGCTGAACCTGGACAAGCCACTTGACCTCTGCAAATCTGTTTTCTAACTCGTAAAAGGAGCTTCTGCAGGGACAGCATGGGAGGATGGGCAAGGCTGCATCCTCTCCAGGATGCTGACTGCACATGGAAGCCAGTCTATGTCAAGCCGGCCCGTCCTCCAGGGTCTCACAGATCCATCCCCTGCCCCCAGGCTGGCTGACCCCACTCCCTGCCGGCCCCACAGGCAACATGGCACCCAGAGCCAGGGGACAGGGGGGTGCGATATGGTACCCAGCCCCGGGGACGTGGCCCTCGTGGTGGGGGACAGGCTGCTACCTTCCCCCTCGCTGATGACCTCCTTGTCCTCCTGGGGGCTGGAGGGGCACAGGGCCGAGATCCATCGCTGCTTCTCACTCCTGGGGAGAGGAAGGCTGAATTGTCCCAACATGAGAACTGCAGTCTCCCAGGGCCATGGTGGAGAAACCAGGGCTGGGAGGACAGGGTATGATGTGCAGACGTGGGACCTGAGTCAGGCCATCTCCACCCCAAGGCCCACCCAAGCCAGCGCCCACCCAGCTCTGAGGATGAGCACAGAACAGGTCCAGGACCCCCTGGATGCCAGCTCTGCCAGCTCCAGCCTTAGGCTGCCATCCTGAGCCAGAGAGGAAGGCTTCGCCCCTGTCTGGGGGGTCTGCTCCCCAAGCCCAGGCCCACTCACTCCGTCCGGGCCCTCAGCAGGAACTGGTGCTTCGTGTGCTGCCCGTGGAGGAGCTGAAGGAGGAACACGTGGCCGGGGATGCCCTGCAGCTTGAGGCTCAGGTCCTTCACCTGCAGCTCTGCCATCTTCGCGTGGACGAAGACGGCAAACTTCCCCAGCCTAGAATGGGGGGGGGGGGGGTGTGAGGTCAGCCTGGCCCTACCCTCGGGACGAGGTGACTGCTGATGGGAAGAGAAGAGAAGGCATCATCTGTCCCTAGGACCCTCCTCAAGAAAGCGAGGCTGCACAGAGCAGTCAGCAAAATGAGGGCTGCAATCTCCCTGGCTCAGGTGGAATGTGACGCAGACAGTCCCTGCCCCTGATCTCCCTGGCTCACTGACAGACGCGGGAGGTGATGGAGACAGTCCCTGCCCCAGGCACACTTTCCACTCTCTCTGAATCTCTTCCTGGAGCCTCTGTTCCATAGAGACGCCTGGGCAGCTTCCCCACTGAGATCTGCAGACTGCTTTGCGTCTGCCTCTCTAACCATATAGGAGGTGGACTCTGTCTCACTTGCTGCCGCATCACAGCACCTGACTCTGCCAGGCCCGCTGTTTGGGTCTGATAAACCCTTCTAAGGAAGGTGGGCAGGTGGGTAGACAGAGGGTGCTCCACAGTTCCTTCATGTCGGCTGATCTGGACAAAACCAGCATCTTCACCAGACCAGGTCCCTCCGCAGGTCCCCGTTCCAGGGAAAGACGCCAGCGAATCCCCCGAGGACACTCAGGCCTTCTGCTCACCTCTTTCCTCCCCCGCCCCCACACCCGGCCAGCAGCTGTGTCCTATTCGTTGGTCTCCTTGCTGCCCCCAGAACTCACTTACCCCTACGCCCACCACTAATTCTGGAGCCTCTGCTCTCATCTGGGCAGTTACAGGAGCTTCTGTTCTCTGCCTTCCAGCCTGTTCTCCAAACTAGCTGGAGTAAAGTGCCTCCTCTGCTTAACTCTCCACGCTCCCCGCTGCTCTCAGAAAGTCCAACCTTTCTGCCATGGCTTTCAACATGCCAACTTCCCTTTCTTGCCCTTTCTTTCTACAAACTCAGCCACACTAGGCTTCATCACCTTCCAGACATACTCTGCTCTTCCATCCTTCTGTAACTTGGCTATATTTCTCCAATCACCTCTACCTGGAAAACTCCTATGTATTCTTCAAAACCCAGTTCGAACATTCCTTCCTCTATGAAGTTTTACTGACTCTCATCCCACACCAGGGAATGCTACAGTACAGATAACCCTTCCATCAAAACTCTGAACCGGTGATTACTAGGATTTATTTTCACTGGTGTGAGACTGCCTGTGAGCAGAGAACAAATCTCATTCATCTCTAAGTTCCCAACATCCTTTGGAGGACCCAGTACAGAATAAGGATTCAATGACGCTTCACTGGGTGAATAAACATATCAGAACTGAACTCTTTCTCTTTCCATGGCATAAGACATCCATCCACCATCCCCTCCATCCTTAAGGCTTACTTCAGGAAGTCTTCCAGACTTATAATAATCACAGCTAATTCTGAATGAGTATTCAGTATATGCCATGCTGTGTGCTAACCTCTTCATGTGTTATTATCACAGTGCATTTCCCTACATGGTAGCCTCTATTTGACAGATGGAAAACAGGACAGTGCAGTAGTTATGAGCCTGGGATCTAGCATCAAACATACCTGACCTCCTCCTGGTTCCTGCATTCACTAGCTCCATGATCTCGAGAATAACAGGAGAGGCTACTTTCCAGGAAGACACTCAGGATTAAAGGGGAAAATCCACATAGCATGCCTGGCACAGAAAAGGTGCTCAGATGTTCGTTATTATCACTATGGCTCAGGGGCGGATGTGCTTTTAGTCTCTGCTCCAATTGGTGTCCCTCATAGCCTAGTTGGTAAAAAAAATCTGCCCGCAGTGCAGGAGACCCAGGTTCTAGTGCTGGGTCAGGAAGAACCCCTGGAGAAGGAAATGGCAACCCACTCCAGTATTCTTGCCTGGAGAATCCCATGGACGGAGGAGCCTGGTGGGCTACAGTCCATGGGGTTGCAAAGAGTTGGGCACGACTGAGCGTATCTCTTCCTTCCAATTGGTTTAAGCTCAGAGCAGCTTCAAAGTTCTCGGCACACAGTCCAGCCCTTGATTCTCAGGTCCAGAAGATGGACGCGCCCTGGCTCTGCCTTTCCTGGGGGAGCCACTCAGCTTTAGGGTGCCCCAGCAGCACAGCCTGGCAGGTGGACTTGCTGTGAGCCCGCGGATGCAGAAGAAGGGAGCTCCACGCTCACCACCACCACCCCAATGCTGCCCCGACTCACTCCTTCCGTCGGGAGAGCAGCAGGCAGTCATTGAAGAGGTGCAGGTAGACCGCCTTGCTGGACAGCTTCAGCTTGGCAGGGGGCGCCGCGGGCAGGGGCGCCAGCTCCACCAGCTCCCCGTGCCGAACCAGCCAGCGGGCCTGAGAGATCAGCGGGAAGATCTGGGAGGATGGAAGAGACAGGGGTCAGGCCAGGGGCAGAGGGCAGAGGGCAGGGGGTGGGAGGGCTGTACAGTGATGAACTGGCCCACAGCCCCCAGGGAGGAGGCGACAAGGCTGCCCCTCCAGGTGCCCCAGCCCCCCGGCTGAGGGCGGATACCTTGCCCTCAAAGTGGATCTTCTTGCTCAGATGGATGAGCTCCTCTGTCCTCTTCATGGTCTGCACACTGGCATTGCACTCTTGCACCAGCTGCAGAGACAGTGGGGGTCACCCGCAGCACCCCCAGCCCTGACTCCCCCAGCCCAGTCTCAGGCTCCCACCTGGAGACCAGAGGCTGTGAAGCCTGAGGCTCCTCTGGAGACACACAGGGGTTCCAGGGAGGCCCTTGGGAGCCAGACACCTCCTCCCTGCCGAGCTCACCTCCTTGAGGGCATTGAAGGCCTTGGTGGCCATGTCTTCATCTTCAGAGCCCTGCGCTGTCCGCTTCAGGATGTTCTGGAAGGCAGAGTCAGTGCAGCGAGGCAGTGTGGCCTCTCCCAGGGACCCCGCCCAGCCCTGGGTGCCCCGAGGGGCTGTGGCAATAAAGGGGTCTCCCCCCCACGCAGCCCTCCCCACAGCCTCGTGCCCTCAGGTACCTCCACCAGCATCTTGAGGCGGGTGATCCTCTGAAACGGCAGGATGAGGAAGGAAGTGAGGGGCAGCCGCTGGCACACAGGAGACTCCTCCAGGCGAGCCAGGATGCCAGGGAACTTGGGGTTCTCCAGGCTGGACAGTGGGGGCGGGAGAGGGTCTACAATGACAGGAGGCCCCGAACGCGGGATCCCCGCCTCCAGCCACCCCTCTGGTCCTTCGGGGGCCTCGGCAGGTCTGGCTCCTCCTGGTCAGAGCCCAGGGCAGGCGCCCAGCCCCTCCCAGGTCAGCCCTCCGCAGCCCCGCCCCCTTCAGAGCCCCGCCTACAGCAGGCGCTGGTAGGTGCGCTCCTGGTAGGCCTGGTTGGTGACGTAGGGCAGGTAGACACGCCGGAAGGCCGGACAGTGCTGCAGGACCACGTCGCACACGCTGAAGCGGAGGACATCCGCCTCCAGCCGCTGCTCCAGGTCCTGCAGGAACCTGAAACGGCAGCCAGGGGTCAGGGCCGGGGCCAGGAGGAGACCCCACAGGCGGGAGCCCAGCCAGCTGCAGCCTGGCTGCCTGACTCCCCGGGAGGCCGGGCCATTGCCTCACCTCTCGCTGGTGCTCTTGACCTCGGGCAGTTTGGAGAACAGCCACTGCTTGTCCTGTGTCCCCAGGCACTCACTCAGCTCGGCCGAGCCTAAGAAGTGGCCCACGGCCACCGACAGACTGTGGATGTATGAGGCCTCGGACGTGATCAGCTCAAACTTGGCCTGAGTGAGGGTGGATGCAGGGCTGAACCCTGAATGCACTCGCTTCGCCCACCAAGCGCACCCCGAGCCCTGGATACCGCCTCCTTAGATTCAGCGCACCCCCGGTCCCCTTCCCTTCTCCAGGCCCCTCGGGATCTAGCCCCAGGTTGGCTTCACAGACAGCCTCCTGCTGCTACTGCGGCTCCGACCCAGCCTTGCCCAAGTTTGCGCACCACGCATCCGGCTGGCTCTGGTCTACCGGCCAAGCCCATCCACGTGCGCCCTCCCGCCGACCGGATTCCTGCTCTAGGGCCTGCTGGGCCCGCGTGCACCCTGAGTTTCACCCTCTGCGCCGCTCCTCCCTCCCAGGCCCCGCTTTCAGGGGTCTCGGTCTAGGACCCTTTCCCTGGTCCTGCCGCACCTTGGGCCTTTTCCCGCTGACCCCGCCTCGGGGCCCCGGGCCCACCTCCCCCCCACCCCAGGCCCGGGCGCACCTCCTGCAGTTTGCAGCCCGTGGGCCGGGTACCCAGGTGGCCAGGATCCCGCGCCCCCCAACTCGGGGTCCCGGGGCCCCTCCCACGCCCCCCGCCCAACCTCGGCGCACCTCTTGCAGTTTGCAGTCGCGCAGGCTCAACGTGGCCAGGACGCCGCTGCCGCGCACGTCGGGAATGTCCTGCCACAGCGAGAAGGTGGAGCCCCGCGCAGCGCGCTGCGCCCTGAACGAGCTGCTCGGGGAGAGGTCGGCGCGCGGCGGCCCCGGGCCCTCCTCCGCGCCCTCCACCTCATCCGCCGCGCCTTCCTCCTCGCGCTGCTGCCGCCGCAGCTCGCGGGCGCTGGCCACGTCGCTGTATTCCTGGTAGAGGACGGCTGGGCGGAGAGCGGAGGCCGTGGGGCGCCCGCCGGCCCCCTGCCCCGGTCCCCGCGGCCCGCCTCGCCTAACCAGCCTTCCCGACGGTTAGAGGAGCGGAACTGGTGACGGGTCACTCGCCCACTCATCCCGCGAACCTTGGGCACCTCCTGAATGCTGCCCCTGTGCTGGCCACTCATGGTCCCGGTCTCTCCCTCCCACTGAAGCCCGACCTCTCAGCCCCCCAGATCCCGGTTTCTCGGTACCCCAAGCTCCCAGCCCCTCCCTCAGGGGCCCTGGCGCCGGCTCTTCCCGCGCATCCAGCCTGGGAAACGGAGCGTCAGGGCCAGACACCGCCCCTCCCCGCCTCGAACCCGAGCCTGGAGTGGGAGTTGATACCTGGGCTCCTGCCAGGTGTCGGGGACCCCGCTCAGGTCAACAGGAGCTGGCGTCGCCGTGGTGTCCACCCTCATCTCTACACTGCGCGAGTCTCTTCCAGGCGCTTTCCCTGCAGAGGGGCAGAGCTGAGGGAGACCCCCAAGAGCGGTGCTGGGCACGGGGGCCCCACACGCATCTCAGGGGTCCAGTGATCCCGCCCCGCGTCTGCCTCTTGCGCTGCTCTCAGGGCCTCCGGGCTAGCTGGTACCTTCTAGGGCGGCTCTGGGGCCTGACCCTGACCCTGGGATCAGTGCCCTGGCTGCTGAATTCCGCCCCAAGCGCAGGGAAGAGTGCAAGCGGGTCATCAGCTCAGAGGCCGAGAAGCGCCTCCGCTCAGGCCCCTCGAGGCCCCCACGAGCCGGCCCAGGCAACCCCGCCGGCTGGGGCTCCTCTGCGCTCAGCGCCTGCTCCGCGGCCTGACTCGGCTCCAGGAAGACAGCGTGGGCCTCAGGGCCACCAAGGGCCTCTTCTCTCTGGTACACCCGCATCTTGCGCCCTGACAGGGGTGGGGTGAGAGAGCACAGGCTGGCATCCAGGGGGGTCTCCCCTCCCTGCCACTGCCGTGTGACCCTGGACATCAGAGGGATGTGCCCGAGAGAAAGGCCAATGTTTTTGCCAGGATCTTTTCCCAGAGTGATGTGGTCAGCCAGAGGGGTGGGGAGAAAGCAAAGTACCTGACTGCTGTGGGCAGAGGCCCAGGAAGCCCAGGACACCTGCTCACTGCGTGTCCCCAGACGAGTTACCTGCCTTCTCTGAGCCCCGGCTCCCCTATCCCTAAAATCTATCACTTGTCCTGCCTGTTCGGGGAATCTGGGGGCTTACTGGTCCTAAAAGAGCCACCCCACCTCTCCCCTATCCTCCCCCCACCACCACGACCTCCCCCGGAGTGACTCACAGGCTGACTTCTTCTCTGAGCCGTGGCTGGCCCGGCGCTGTGGCTGTGGGTGCTGGGAACTCCAGGGTCCCTCCAGGGCTGGGGGCTGGGCACTAGGACAGTGTGGCCAGCTGCCAGCCCTGCTGGGCCGCACTCCCCCGCTGGTGGAGAGCTCGGGGTCTGCGCCTCCTGGGGGCGGTGGCCATAGCAGCCCCTGGAGGGGAGCGGGGGTCCCCAGAGACCAGCGGCTGCCAGGTGCCTGCAGCTCCTCTGGAGCCACAGGGAAGAGATCCAGACACACAGGGCCTGGAGGCTGCAGGATGGGCAGCTCCGTGAAGGACAGGCTCTCCTGCTGGCACACGGCCACTGGGTGGTGGGCAGTGCCAGGCGACCCAGCCAGATGGGGCTGGAGGGCAGCAGGTGGCCCACAGTCCATTCCTCCTTTGCTCCGCCACCCACCAGGGCCTGCGGGGAGAAGGCATCAGAGCAAGGCACAGGACAGCAGTGGCCAGTAGGCACCATGTCCTGGAGGCCTGGACGAAGTCTCATGTACACACATCTGTACAAGCATACTCACACACTTGATTATATAGCAATAACTAATGCTTACTTGGCACTTACTTGATGACAGGTCAAGTACTTTACACATAGTAGTTCATTTAATCCTTTGAAGCCCGAGCAACCCAGAGTTGATGCTTTTTTTTTTTCTTTTAGTTGTGGTTCGCAGGTTCAAGTTGGCACACAGCATGAGGGATCTTAGTTCCCTGACCAGAGATCGAACCCAAGTTCCCTGACCACTGGACCACCAGGGAAGTCCCCTGATCTGATACTGTCATTAGCCCCACTTTATAGGTGAGGAAAGTGAGGCGGAGAGGTTATCTGGTAAACAGTGGGGCCCGGATTCAAACCCAGGCAGTCTAGCTCTGAGTCTGTGCCTTTAAGCACCTTGTACATTTCCTAACTCTCTGACATATGATCAGACATACAGATACATACACTGTCACACAGACCCACGTCTGTTCCATGTACATCCACACGTATTTTCTTCCAGCTGCAGACACTGACATACGTACTTTCACAGATACACTCCAACATTTCAAATTCACAGGTTCACACATTCACACACACTTTTTTTATACAAGTACATATATTCACTCACTTTCACAAACACACGCTGAGCCATCAGATATTTACATATCCACTCAAGTTTTCTCACACTCCTGTTCCATTCACACTCAAAACACCATGACGCAAATACAAACACACAGACCCAGTAGTCCTGGTTGGTGTTACCCAACCTCCCCTCCTGTGCCCAGAGTTGCAGGCTTCAGTACTGAGTGGTGCCCACACCCATGCCAAGCTGGCTGGGAGGGTCACAGATCGGCAGGCGGGCCACCACCCAGGACAGGCTGGGCCCTCCCAGGAGAAGGGAAGGAAAGAGCCCCAGCCCCCCAGCTTGGGGTGAGAGAGGGGACCCCATCTCCCAGCCCCAGGAACAGGACAACCTGTGTGGGGCCTCTCGGGCAGGAAGTCATCCCCAGTGAGGCTGCCGGAGCCTCAGGTCAGGCCTACCCGTCAGCGGGCCTGAGCCCCCAGCCCTGGCCCCCGGCCCCGCTCACTGCATCCCCTCACCTCTGCACCAAGGCCCGCCGCGGATGGGGCTTGGCTGCTCCGGCAGGGGAAGCCCTCTCTCTGCCCAGCTGGCCTGGGGAGATCCCACCCAGACAAAGAGTTTGATTCATCAAGCCCTGTGGTGAGGCAGGCGGGGAGGGAGGGAGGGAACAGGCAGCAGGCTGGGCGGGGGCCTCCTGGGGCCTGGCCTTGCTGTGGGCAGGCTGGGCAGCAAGGACACCCCCTGCCCAGAGGCCCGCTCAGGCCAAAGGGGCAGCGCCTGCCTGGCAGGGCCGGGAGACTCAGGAGACAGAGCCGGAGAGACCAAGGGGCTGAGGCTGGAGGACGGGGATGCTTTAGAGAGCGACCCAGAAACCGAGACCCCCAGAGCACTCCAGACCGGAAAACCACAGATGCTGAGGCACTCAGGGGCCCAGGGACGGGACACTGCACGTTTCAGACAGACCAGATACTCAGAGACAGATGTGAAGCCCAGGAAAACCAGAGGAGACGGGCAGGCAAACGCTTCGTGCCCTTTGGGATTGCCAGTCTCACGGGGAAGCCAAAACAAAAACAGTGGCAATCCAGGTTGAAAAGAACCAGCCCAGAGGAGCTGTCAGAGCAGAGGGCTGGACTCACCTCGATCCGGGCATCCCCAGAAGGCGTCCTGAAGGAAGTGATAGCAAACTGTCCCGACTGAAATACCCAGGGGTCCAGTACACAGAGAGAGGGAGAAAGCTTTGGCATGAAAGCAACAGCGACAGTGTCAGTGAGCCTGGGGGTGGGGGGCAGGGGAGGGAAAAAGGGGAAGGACCAGCGGGGGGCCGCTGGTCTGTGCCTGGGCCCCTCCGGAGCACAGGGTGGGGCTGCTCCTGAGGACTTCTCAGGCCCTCCCCACAGGCAGCAAATCTGTCTGTTTCCTCGTCTGGGGAACAGCATAGTCAAGCTTCAGAATGCTGATAGGAGAATTAAGAGGACTTCCCTGGTGCCGCAGGGGTTAAGAATCTGCCCTCCAATGCAGAAGATGCAAGTCTGATCCCTGATTGGGGAACTAAGATCCCACGGGCCTGAGGCAAGGGGGACTAAAGCCCGTGTGCCTCATAGAGCGCCTACCTGCTCCTCACTCACCACAGCCGGAGAGAAGCCCGTAGGCCGCAAAGGAAGACGCCACACGCAGCAACTAAGACCCAATGCAGCCAAAAATAAATAAAGATTAAAAACATAAGAATAATGCAAGAGGACTTCCCTGGGAACTAAGATCCTGCATGTTGCATGGTGTGGCCAAAGAAAAGAATAATGTATGTAAAGCACCTCGCACACACTGGGAGCTTTGCAGTTGATCCTCATTCTTCTGAGTACTTTTAGTCTTTCTCCAGTCACAAGGATGGCTTGGGCCATTACACAGTTAGGAAAACTGAGGCAGTGATGTTAAGACACATCCTGTTTTGTAGGAGCATGTGGCAGGAGACATGGGACCACTGCCCACCGGACAGGTCTCTTCCTGCTGGAATCAGAAGTCCCACTTGCTTCTGTCGGCACGCCTGTGCAGGAACACACATGTGCTTCTGCTCTCTTACATTCTGGAGAGCCTCTCCACTTGGGTTCTGGAAGCCCCTAGAGGGCTGAGAGGAACCCCCCTCCCCATGTCAGCTGCAGGGATAAATGAGCAAAACATGGAACCGTGGGGGCAGGAGCATCTCATATTTTAAAAAAAATTTTTTTGGCCACACTACACAGCACGTGGGATCTTAGTTCGCCAACCATGGATCGAACCTGTGCCCCCTGCAGTGGAAGCGCGGAGTCCTACCCACTGGGCCACCAGGGAATTCCAAGGAGCACCCCCCACTAAAGCCTCAGAGGAGGAGGCTGGGTAAATGGAGGGAGACGTGCAAGGCTTCGTGGAGGAGACAAAGCTGGAGGCAGGTCCGCGGGCAGGAGGTCAGGGGTGGGTTAGCTCTGTCTCTGCCCAGGCCAAGGGACAATGAGAGTGACCACCCAGCCAGGGCGCCAGGCCTGTGGCCTTCCGTGGACATGGTCTACCCAACCTCAGTGCTAGCATGCTTACAGCTTATCTCCACCAGATCCAAAAAGAAACTATCAGGAAGAGACGGGTCCCAGGTAACAGGGACATTACCTGCTCACGACCTGATCACAGGGCGCCCTGTGCCCACCAGGCAAGGGAGCCCACGGCGGCGAGCCCCTGCCAACACTCACAGCCCCGCGCTGACTCTGACCAGCTGTGTGACTTCAGACGAGTCAAGCCTGGGCCTGGGCCTGAGTGTCCCCATCTGCAGAGGAGCTCTGAGCACTGTCCCCAGGGCTGCAGTACTCATATTGCCCCCAATGAAACTTAACTCACAACTCTCAGGTTGCGCGCTTTTTTTTAAGTGGACAGAGAGTCCCATCCAGGGGGTACTCATCACAAGGACAGTGGACCCACTCCTCAAGGCTGGCAGGGAGGGCCCCTAGATGCTGGGATGGTCCGGACCTCCTATGCCCAGCTTTTCCCTGCCCCCTCCAAGGTGCCTCTGGCCCTGCTGCCCAAGGAGTAGGGCCCTGCAGGGCCCCTCTTCTTCTCAACGCAGGGAGCCAAGTGGGAGGTCATGGCTGGAAAGGAGACTCAGGCCACGCAGGCTGTGGAAGCCCAAGAGGCCATAAGCGTGTGGGGGCCAGGATCGGAGGCCTGGGAGCTGCACAAAGGACTTACTCGGGAAGACTGGTGGGAGGAGGACGGGGCTGCTGGCAGCCAGGGGGCCCTACCTCAACCAGGGAGCTCCGTCCAGCCTCCAGCACGGTCCTGGGCTCCAGGCTGCCCTGGGGGCTCTGGGGTTGCAGCCAGGTCCTCAGGGGGCGATGTCAGCATGGCCCCTGAGCCAGGCAAGGCAAACTCCTGGGTATTGTGTGGGGCAGGGAGAGGGGAGGCGAGGGTGGAGGGAACCTCGCAGGCAGGCAGGCGGCTGTCTCGACGTGCCTGCTCCCCGCCCCCCTTCCCCAGAACCGGTTTGGCCAGTCTGAGGTACAAGAGGTGGGCTGGAACAATGGGAGTCCTATGCCCAGGAGAGGCTCTGAAAGGACCCCAGACTGACACCCTAAAGATGGGGGAGGCACTGCTTTCCCTCCCAGGAGACAGGTCACCCTTCTGCTGCAGCTTCCCAAGTGTGAGATGTGCTCGGGGGACTTCTTGGGGCTGGGGAACATCTCAGAGAATGATGAGCCTTGGACTAGTCAGGGACCCTGAGGACTCTGCAGGGTGTTGATCCTCGCTGAGCCAGGCAACAGCATCTATAACGGGGTTTTCTGGTAGCTCAGGTGGTAAAGAATTCACCTGATTCCTGGGCTGGGAAGACCCCCTGGAGGAGGGACAGGCTGCCCACTCCAGGATTCTTGGGCTTCCCTGGTGGCTCAGCTGGCAAAGACTCTGCCTGCAATGCAGGAGACCTGGGTTGGATCACTGGTTTGGGAAGACCCGCGGGAGAAGGGAACAGCTACCCACTCCAGTATTCTGGCCTGGAGAATCCCATGGTCTGTATAGGCCATGAGTCGCAGAGTCGGACACGACTGAGTGACTTGCACTTCATTTAATATGAGTGTATACAAGTACTAGTGCTCCTGTGCTAGTAACTCTTATTATACACTAATGTGCCAGGCACTGTTCTGAGCACTTCACACACTAAATATTCATTTAATCTCCACCACAACCCTATGAGATAGATGCTATAACTGCTCCCACTTAACAAGTTGAGGACATGAGACTTGCACGGGTTAAGTACATTATCCCATTTAAATCTCTCATCAGCTCTATAAAGTCCCTGTCTTACAGATGATGAAATCACACTTGCCAAAGGTCACACAGCAAATAAAAGTCAGAATTAATGTTCAAACCCAGGTCTGCGGCTCCACTGCCAATCCGTGCCCTCAACAGCTGCCTGGCACCGCCTCTCCAGACTTTGGGAAGGGTCTGGTGAAAAGTGTGTGACAGTCCACTGGGAGGTGTCTCAGCTGACCCAACTAAACCCTTTTTTTATTATTGACGTACTAAAGGCCCTGATGAGCACAGGGCCTTTTGTAGTCCACTCCCAGATCCTATGAGTTCTCCCTTGCCAACTGGTAACCATTCAGTTGGAGAGGTTAGGTCCCTTCACTCCTTCATATCCTCCTTGGCACCCAGAACATCAGGACGTAATGAGGAGACACTGCACAGAGTGGGTGGAGAGGTGGCACTGTGGGGCGTAGAGAGATTTATTGCCAGGGTTGCTCAAGGGGCAGGAGACTGGGAACATGCAGAGGGAGGCAATGCAGGGCTAAGGGTTTTCAGAGAACCCTAGCCCTCTCACCCCAACTCCTAGGCCGACCTTGGGGCCGCTGGCCAAGGTACCGTAGCCTTGACTCCTAGCTGGAAGCAGAGGCCGCCAAAGGAGGGAGGATCCTGGGGGATTAGGGGCCTGGAAAGGAAGTCTCGCTTCTCTGGACCCTGCGTCCTGGGCTCCAGGGACAGCGCCTCCTGCTGCAGCGGACAGAAAGCAAGCGGAGGACACTCCAGAGCAGAAGGGGCTCAGGTGGACTTGATACAAAAGGAGGGGCGCGGCGCAGGCGGGTTGGGTGATGGGCGGGGCCCGGCGGAGATGAGCGAGCCAGCGGCCAATCCTCCCTCTGGACCAAGCTAGGGGGCGGGGCCAGAACGCTGACCTTGGGCCTTGGGTGGACAGAGGGGCGTGGTCAGGGGCGGGGCCAGGGCCCGCCGGCCGCACTGACCCAAGCAGCGCCTCCGCGTTGTTCACCAGAGCCTGCTTGGCCAGGTCGCGCCTTACCTAGGTAGCCAGGGAGGCTGGCAGGTCGAGCACGAGCCAGGGATGAGGGGCTGGGGAGAAGGGAGCGGTGAAAGAGAACGATGGCTTTAGCGATCTTACTCTGCCAAATGCTTACTAAGTGCAAGGCACTTCGTTGTTCAGTCTCTCAGTCGTGTCCCACTCTTTGCGGCCCAGCACACCAGGCTTCCCTGTCCATCACCAACTCCCGGAGTTTGCTCAAACTCATGTCCATTGAGTCGGTGCTGCAAGGCACTATTCTGAGGGGTTCCGGGTATTCATTCAATTAATCCTCACAACTCTAGGGAGTGAGTAAATTACTTCTGTTTCACCTGTAAAGAAGCCAAAGCATAAAGAGGTCGTCATCTGCCCAAAGACACAGAGGTACAGTTCGAACTCCTACACTAAGAACCTGTTAGAATCAGAGCTAGAGAAAGAGGATCTTGAGCAAAGCTAGGAGTTCTAGGACTGTGGCCAAGAGGTACTAGTATTAGTCATGACACTAATTAACGCGTAGAGCACCTGCTGCGCTGTGCGCGTGCTTACCGCTCAGTCTTCATAGCGACCCCATGAAGTAGATCCTGTTCTGTAATATACCCTATTTACTGCCAGTCGGCGGCACAGCCTTAACTTGGACTCTGGCCTGTCCAGCGCCCAGAGGGCTTAGCTTACCTCGAAGGCGATGATGAAGACCAGACTCACAGCCAGCGGCTTCCCGCAGACGAGGGTGAGATTCCTCTTCGCGTCGCAAAAGCCCTTGTACCTGGGCTGCGGAGGGCGCGCGGTCCCGCGAGGCCCTCGGCCCCACGATCGGCACTTCCACCCTCCCCACCCTGGGGGCTGGCCCTGCCAGGTTAGCTGTACCCTCAGCCGGCTCTGCCCTCTAGTCCGCCCCCTGGACTCAGCTTCCTGAGCTCCCAGTTAGGCCCCGCCCCGCCCCGCCCCGCCCACAAGCTCACTGCCCCGCCCCCAGGCCGGACCAGAGGCCCCATAGAACCATGGCCACGCCCCTCCCGGGGCCCCGCCCCTCTGAACTCCTCCCCTCCCGCGGGCCCCGCCCCCTCCACCCCGCTCCCAGGCCGGGCCGGAGGGGCCCCAAACTCCGACCCGCCCCGCCCCAGGGCCCCGCCCGCTCTGTGCTCCGCCCCTCCCGGCCGCCTCTCCCACCCGCGGGACTCGCGGTTGCCCCGGGTGAGGTAAGCCGGAGGCGCGGGTTCCCGCGTGAAGCTGACAGAGCCGCGCAGTCGGCTGCGGTGTTCCTACCGACACGAGAGACGTGGCAGGACGTCCGAGGGGAAGGCAGTGAAGAAAACTGCAGGGGCTCCAGGCAGGAAGGCCCTCCTGCCTTTCCGGGCCCAAATGGGTCTGGTTCCACTCTCGTGGGCAGGATTAGCCTGTGCCCAAGGGGCCCTCTGCCCCTATTTCCCAATCTCTCGCCCCGAATTCTAGCCTCAGCCCCCATTTCCCTGTTCTCAAGCCTGCTGCCAGTCTCTGATCTTCACCACCCCCCTCCTCCCCTCACGTTCACGATGGTGGAAGGGTGGGCCATGGTTTCGAGTAGGAGCATCCAGATCCCGGTGTCCTGAGTCCGCTCAGTCACCAGCCACCAGTAGGAACTAGTGGGCATCCGGTCAGACCTTCACTAAGCTGCTCAGCAGGGCAAACAGGGGAGCAGGTGACGAATATGGTGATGAATCCAAACCGCAGCACTGGGGGCTGGGGGCGTCAGATCGGCGTTCCCCGCCCCTGCTGGGTCAGCCCCCACCAAGGGACCCTGTGCACCACGTGTCTGTTTCCAGGTGTTCCTCAAAGAGGCCCCTGCAGTGGACGGGCTCAGAGTCCTCCTTCCAGCACCCCTACTCCTGCCTGATCCATCTGGGTGTCCCTAAGCCCCACCAGCTGTCTCTTCTGCTGCCAGGCCTCCAGCTTCCCGGGACAGACGAAGCCATTTCTATGCTCCCAGTCCCTTGGAGCTAGGCACCACGGTCATTCCCACTTTATAGATGAGGACATGGAGACTCAGAGACCTTGCCCAGGGCTCCCCCAGTTGTGAATGGTGGTGCCAGGGCTCAAGTCCTTGTTTGCTGGACTCCAGAGTCCAGGGTTCTTAAAATCTGCGCTTCCTATACGGCCATTCTTGGTCTCCGGAAGCCCTTCCCCTCTCTAAAATATGAAAAGAGAGCCCCCTCTCTCCCGTTCAGCATATCACTTAATCCACTCAGCTCTCTTGGAGAGGTATGTCCCATAAGCAGAGTCAGAGCTTACAGAATGCAGAACTAGGACTTGTGTTCCTGTGTCCTGACCCCTAATCAGGGGTTTTCTGCTTAGCTCTCATAAAGTCTCCCTGCCCCAGCCTGACTAGGCCCAACCCCCAGGTCGTCCCCTGTGCCCAAGTCTGGTGAACTCCTCCACTTTGCTGGCCAGCTGTCCGCCCTCCACGGTGCTGAAGAGCTACTGACCTTAGGAAGGCAGCCTCCAGGCCACACTGTAACAGGCAGACACGTGGCACCCTACTCAGAGTTTAGGGGCTGGCCTCAGAGGCAGATCCTGCCCTGCCATACCTGAGGGGTGATGCCCCCCACCGCTCAAGAGGTGGGTTCTCTGGGCTCTCTGGGCGAGGATACTTGCATCCCCGATCCATATGCCAAGCAGCCCGCTGTACTCATCAGGGCACCCCACAAACCCTCAGGCCCACTGGACCTGCTGGCAATGTGCCCTCCCCCTCTGGATCCAGGCCACAGCTAAACTCCAGGCGGAGGTGGACCCCTGTCCCTGCTGTGCCCCTGAGCCTCTGGCCTCCCACCCGTTGAGAGAGAGCTCTGGCGACCGGGCTGCTGGGACGTCTTGTCCCACTGCCCCCAGTTAGGCCACGTTCCCAAGACCTGTTGGGACCATGCCCATATCTACTGTTCAACCCATGAGAAGCCAGTTGAGTATTTCTGGGCCAGGAAGAAGGAGTCATGCTGCTGAGGGGGATGGGGTGCGGGTTCTTTTGGTGATGCTCTCTCCCATTCCTGCCAAATGACAATGGGGATTACACAGTAACACCACCTCCTGGGAGTCTAGCCCTTGAAAACTCCTGACCTGTCTTTGTTAAAAACTGAAGCTCCCAGAGGGAAGGCCCAGCTCTGGTTCATTTCTGTGACCCCAACATCCAGTCCAGGGCGCTCAGTAGAAAGGCCCCCACAAAGATGGTGAGGAGCCCAAATGTCAGGAATGGGAGGTGGGGTGTCAGGCCTGTGCCACTCAGTGACAGTTGGGTGAATGAGTGAATGCAGGTGTTAGTTTCACATTTACCCAATGATGTATTGGTATATTACAGCTGAGAAAACTGAAGTCCAGGGAAATCAAGCGCCAACTTCAAAGTCAACAACAAGATGTCAGTAGAGACAAACCTAGAGGCTCAAGGACACTGCCACTCTGCTGGGACTTCACTGGGAGTCAGCAGTCTTGTTCAGGGGTCCTCACCTGCTTTGAAGAATGCTGCATAGAAGGGAGAGGAATAGAAATTGACAAATTGGAAGATGAAGACTTTGGAAGGGAGGGCATCTTCATGGTGGGTCTGT